GACACTAAAGGGGTTGAAGCCAGTTAAGGGGTCGACCGGACTTGCAAGTGCGCAGGTGGGATGTGCTTAGCAGCCAGGAGCGGCTCATCGATGTCGCTTCTGTTGGACGTCCGCGGGTGGGTCACTCGGCTGAGTCACTTCACTCTCATTGTTCCTCCCTTCTTGTTGGGCCGTCTCCATTCTCTTGAAGCCAAGCTGCGCCCAAAGCTTGCATGTGCAGAATTCCGCACAAAAAGTGCAATCCTTTTTTGCTCAGGAGTTACATGCTATGCTTTATGCTGGTAGGCTTTATGACGAATGGCTGTTGATCAAAAGGTCCTTTACATGGGATGACCAGTGCAAGAACCAGCAAACAGATGCTTTCAGCCACGGGAAACACAGAACCCATGAGTTTGGGGCCGGGGGCTGGGGCTCAAAACACCATGGCTTGCCCGATCGGTAACTGGAACCTTGGACCAAAACCTGCGCAACCCCTTTTTAATCTGGAGCCGCACCCAGATCGATCCACCCCAGGTGACAAGTTCTTGGCGTTTTGTCCCAGAAAAGAGGAGGCGGTGGACTTTGTGCGCATGCGCCTGGGCAGCTTTCGGGACCTGGCCTTCCGGCTGCAGGAGAACTCGGTCGGGCGCTTTGGGACTTCGGACGGTGTTCGAGCTGGGAATGAATCACTTGGTGTGAGAATGCAGTGGACCACAAGTTTTAATCCTTGGCTCATTTACCAGGGTTGGGTACCCTTTTTTGACCCACAGCCAGATGAGAACTGAACCAAAGGTGGCTTGGGCAGGTGCCGTTTCTGGGTTTCCATGGGCTTGAACCATAGCTTGAGGAACAACTAGCCAGGCTTGGGCCCCAAAGGAAACGAGGCACGGCTCGGTTTTCCTTCTCGTCGAAATGGCTCACGCGCAAGGAGAGCAGATTGCGGCTGTCATCCATCATCGAGGCGGGTTGCTGGACCATTTCCTTCGGAGCGACGCAATCGCCCGGAAAGGCCAAAGCCCATGTTTTTGTGCCAGAAATCAGGTTGCCGAGTCTGAATTGGTTTGGGTTACCTCACCCAACTCAAGACAAGAGTCTGAAGAAGTTTGATACCTCAAACCGACTCAACGAGGAAAACCTGAGGGGCGGGCGGGATACCGGCGAGGAGATGCTGGATGCCTGCCTTTCGCCGGACCTGGCCCAAACCATGGGTCTGGGAGGCGCGGTTGCAGGGGTCGCCGCTTGCAGGTTCGTGCCACGGAAGGGCCCCGTGGAAGGCTTTCCCGAGCTGTGAACAGGGACGGGTTTCTTTTTCTTCAAAAAGAAGGCGTTGCTGCCTTTCGCGGCTTGAAGAGTTTCATCTTCAGAGCCGGCGGCGCTTGTTTTTATTTTGCTTCGCGTCTCGTGGTGATCGCAGGCGACAACATGACGGCGGTGCTGGTGGTGTTTACAGCCTCCCGGCAGGCGTGGCACGCTGATCTCTTTCCCGAAGCGGGAAACCCAATTCGAAGCGGTCAGAAAATCAATGCGGATACGGATATTTCACGTCATGGACTGGTGGATCGGGACGAAACAAGAGGTGTCAATGTTTCTTCGCATGGGAGTATGGCTTTGTCTTTTCGAGGCGACCCTTTTCCAAGAGGCTTGCGGCCCTTGGGCCATTTTGAGTGCCGATAGGCCGGCTGGCTGGACAGCTCGGTGGTGCCGGCGGCGCTAGGTGCCAAGTGGACAGCGTTTTGATATGTCCCTAGTCCCATGTTATATCCAGGTTATATATATATATAGGCTTCGAAGTCGCAAATTGGTTGGTATATATATATATATCGTGGCTGTATATAGTTTAGTGGCCATGAGGGGTCGATTCGGAGAGGCGACATTCCAATGGCCATTCACCCATCAAAAACCTACACCCTAGTTTTTCGAGGGTCGATTTGGAGAGTGACATACCGATGACACAAACGAGAACCAAAGTGCGCGTTGCCACAAATGCGTTGCTGCAAGGTCCTGGATGTGCCCGTACCGCTGAGAAGCACTGAGTTGTCGTGTGGATAAGAGCCAAGCAAAGTCTTGCGGATGAGCCGAGCACGAAGTGCCAAACGCCAAAATCTGTAAAGCCATGGCTTTTGCCACAGCACAGGTCTCACCCTAGTCAGGGCGCGCGCGGTGCACGCGCGCAAAATGGCAAAACAGTGCCAATCCCAAGACTTGCTGCCTCGGTTGGGGTTCGAGACCGAGCTTCCTTTCGGGGTGTTGTTGGACATATGTCAAAAGGTAAGTTCCCCCCCAAATAAAGAAAATACAGAGAAAAGAAAAACAAGAAGAGCCGCCCCAGAAGGGGAAGCCTCAAAAAAGTTTTGGCGCAGCTGGACGGTCCAAAGTTTTCTCAGATCTTCGGGCCGGATCCCATAGCCCCTGCCCGCCTCAACTTGGCTCGCAGCCCTCCAGCCTGGAGTCGGTCGCCAAGCTGTTGAGAGGCGCGACCTCCACTCGAGGGGCCTTATGGCGTTTTTTGGGGGGCTCGTTTTTTTTTTTGCTACCTCCCTTGTTTGGTGGGTTTAAAAGAAAACCAAAAGGAACACGGGGGGGTGCTTCTATTTTGACACACCCAGACATGGCGAACTGCATGTAAAGAGTTGGAACCTCAAAAGCGGTTGATAGTGGACGTCAATCCCCACTGAATTCTGATGTCCACCTATTTTAGGGTCCTTTTAATCCCACATGTTCCCAAGCTAACTCAAACATGGCAGGTACCAGTCCCCAAGTGTCGCAAGGACCCCGCTTTTGGGGAGCGTTGTTTGGACCTGCTCGCTCGAGCTCACTTATCCCCCTTGCCTTCCCTCGCCTTTTTGAGGTGCTGGCCTGCTCTTGCTTCTTAGCTGGGCATATTTGCACTGCAACAGCAACCGGCGCAGCCAAGTTGCAACAACAAAGCAGACGTGGCCGCTGATCTCATCTCTTCCGCTTGACGTGTCACAAACCAGTCCTTCCACACACCAAATACCGCTTCCACCCTTGACTAAGAAGGAGCCTGGCACAAAGCTTCCTTCAAAGGGAACATTGTCCAAACCTCCAAGCGAGGCGCCGAAGTGTTTGATTGTTTTGGCGCGCTGCTCAGGATGGATGATGAGGTGCGGGGGCTGGGGAGGGGCGGGCGTGGGGGGTTGAGGGTTCGGCGCCTTCTGGAGCTCGTGCTCTCTTTCGGGCCTTCAGTCGAAAAGGTTCTGAGCCGCTTTTCCTGGTTTGCTGAATTCTTGATGCCAGTGTGTCAAGATGTGGCTTTGTGTCCAAATAGCGGGACTCTCCAAAAGGGGAATATCCTTTTGGCTTCCCTTTAAACCAACTCCCAAACACGGGTACAAGCCACGCATCTCTCCCGCCAGGTCAATACGACCACCAGCCAGGTGGTGACCGCTGCTTGGCACATGTGGCACGTGGCTTTTTTGATGGCGGGAAATGAATCGCCCGCATGGTCTGCGGTTGGGTTTCATGAATCAGGTACAAGTCAGAAGTCAGAGTGGCCTTCTTTATTTGCTCCGCAGCTGTTGAGCTTCTTTTGAGACGCCCCTAGCGGATTTTGACCTTTTTGCTGGTTGCACCCATCGGTTGGCGGTTTTGACATTTGGCCGTGGCTCAAAAAACCGGTACTAGTACCAAAATGGGTTGCCCGATCGGTGAGTGGAAACATGGTTCCCAAGACCTGCGGCTTGCCCCTGGTGAATTTTGAGCCACATAGCCCAGGTCGCCAGTGTGAGAGACCAGCTGACCAAAGAGCAAAGGCTCATTATCACGACGCCCGGCCTGGAGAGCGGGGGGTGGGGGAGGGGGCGGAGAGCGGCGGGGGTGCGGGGTGCGGGGTGCGCCCGAAGTCTCTGCAACGTCCTGGGCGAAGCCAGCGACACACAGGTCCTTGAAACAACATATCGCCCCGGAAAAGAGGAAGTCCCGTGCACGAATATCCGAGATCAAGAGGGAGCCGCCTGTCCTGGATTTTTCGTTGATCTTTGGAGGATTCTCCAACAAGACATGACGTGCCATGGGGAAGCGCACTTTCACCCCTAAAGCGGGCGCGCTTTTTGGATGCTTCCTATCCGAAACCCAATTTGGCTTTGAATTTTAAGGAACCACCTCAAACGAAATTGATGGACATGAATCCCCACCTAAGTGACCGTCCACCAAAGGGTCTACTAAAAATCACACCCATTTCGGAGAATCTCAACCATCTTGCAACCGTCAAAGTAGACAGTTCTTTCAACCGCCTGGATTCATCTGAAAAGACAACCATGCATTCTCGTCTTGGAATGGGAAGGGCAGGGAAGGGAAGGGAAGGGAAGGGGAGGAAGGTTAGGAAGGGAAGGCTGTGATTGCCAGGATGGTGTTGGTAATGCGACACGTGTAGCAACCTGCTCGCAGCATAGTGTCTAAGCTCTCAGATAGTGTTGATGGCTTTGTTTGCAGCGATTCATCTAGGCGCTTCGATTTGCAGCGAACCACCCCTTGCAACAGTTCTTCGTGTCGTAAAATGATGTGCCTGCCACGAAATCTGCACTCCGTACTCCAAAGAGCTGCGCTTGACACGGCGTTCGACGCGATGTTTTTCAGTGATGCGCCGGCTATGAAATTCGACGCATGTGTCCGCCATAGAATCTGTGTTTGGTGCTTAGTCAGCACCTATCACGAAATTCGAGCACGATGCCAAGACTTGCTTTTTGATGCCTGATCTTTTTTTGACTTGTCTTGCAGGTGTTCTCTATGCTTTTCTGGAGCGCTGACCAATCACTTTTGATCTTGAATATTTGTTTATCCCCCACCCCGCACCCTTGAAAATTGGCGGCTCGCTGCCTTCGTAAGGTCCGACGCAGCACACAAATCGCTTTTTCCACTGAAAGGCTTAAGCTTAGAAAGGCCCAACGTCCACCAAGAAAACTCCGATGGGTTTTGGCCCATGCCGGGACACCCCGAGGTTCAGCGCATTGGGAACGCTGGTGCTGTGCATTTGCTGCGGCTGCTGCATGCATCGCCTGCAGCGGCTTTACCACAAGACGCGGCAGGTGCTACCAGAGCTACCGGCCACTTGCCTGAGATGTGAGGGGGGGACCCTCCAAAAATTGGTTCTCCTTTCGGTTTCCCATATTACAAGGAACGCACATCCTTCTTCTCGCAGTTTCCCAATAAAAAGGGAAAATGCTTCTTCTCCTTTCAGTGTCCCAAGAAAAAAAACGAAACACCCCAATAGGATCAGGTCACTTGCCTGCCGATTTCATTGGCATGGTCGTTCTCGGGGAGTCAAGCTGTGAGCTGGTCTTCCGGGCACCCCAGGTTTCGTGAGGAAAAAGGCCAAGCCGGTCTCCTGTGATTGAAATCACCCTTGGCTTTTACAAGACAGCCTAAGCCCCATGATTTCAAAAAGAATCTTAACCATGGGTCATCATGGTGTATCAAAGAAAACCCAAAACCATCCACCCCACCCCCCCTCCTTATGGCTGTTTGGTGCTCACGCCAAATTTTGGCGCCGGCGCCTCGATGCTCGAAGCGGCGCCTAGCGCCGGCGCCGGCGCCTCGACTCGGCCGAGGAGCTGCGGCGCTTCAGTCTGCTGAGCGCCGCTTCCTCCAAAAACAGTTCCCCGGAGGCGATGCCGATGCCTCGCGCACGATCTCACGATCTCGCGCGGAAGACTTTGGGTGGAGGGTTTGTGTCTGTTTGAGTTTGAGTTGGTGCTACCCTTGTTTTGTGGTTTTCTCTTGGAAAACCAAGAGGCACGCAGAGAAAAGCCAGGGTTGTTTGACACGCCAAGCTGGTAAAGTGAAACACCCAAAAGTCGAACAAGCTGCGGTTCCGCTTTTTGTCTTGTTGGGGAAGACATGCTGGAAAAGTTGGTCTTGAGATTGCAAGCTGCGAAGGAGTACGTGTTTATATATTGGGGGCTCCCGATGATCATGAATTTTCAGAGGGAGCCACCGCAAAAGTAGTTGGTGGACATGACTCCCCACCTAAATGATGTTCCGCAAAGCATCCTCTTGGTGCCAGTAACTATTTAGCAATTCGACTTTCGGATTCGAAGAACCTTTAAAACACCTTAGAGCTTTTGGGGGTCATCCCAGTCAAAGAAATTGGAAGCTTTGCCAGGACGCTTCGACAGCGGAGTCGACAGCCAAGCCGGAGGATTGCAGTGGCCTTGGGCTGGGTGGTTGCAACTTAGGAAGAAATACGTGGCTCGATCAGTTCCTTTTCGAGTTGGTACCCTTTTGGGTTGGGTGGTTTCAAAGGGAAGCCAAAAAGGAAGCCAACATCCATTTTAGGCGGTTCCGATTTATTGCTGTGAGACATACCCAGATTGCAACATAACACACGAGTTTTGTCGCTATTGGCGTGTTTCCGGGCCTCAAACGACGAAGCGAGCATAGTGTGCAGTCATTTGCTGGTGCTCAGCAGGTAATGGCCTTCCGTGTGTTGGGGTATGAGCCGGTTTTGGGATTCCCGAAGAAAGGACACAAGAACGGGGATGGTTTTCTTGGGGTTCATTCCGCTTCTCCTTCCCCGAGCACCAGCAAGGTCACATGCGGATGTTAGCGCAGGACCTCGACAGGAGCCTGAGGGAAACGGCGGAGGTGAAGGGCAATGAGGCGACCGGACCTGGCTTCTGACTCAATGGGCGCCCTCCAAATTGGCGGTTTGGTTTCCCTTGAAACCTCCCCCCAAAACGGCCACCCTCAAAAAGAAGCAGACCCAACTATGGCAACATATCTTGCAACACAAAGTTTGGGGGTTTCAGTTGCTGGTAAGTACATGTCAAACGGGCAGCCCCACTGCGTTCGAGTTGATGTCGCGCGGCCGCGCGCAGGCGCCGCCGGACCTCGAGGCCTTGCCCAGCCAAGTGCCCGCGGCCGCGCCCGCGGCCGGCGCGCCCGGCGCCAGCGGCGCCGGAGGCTGCGGCGGAGCTCGAGGCGCCTTCGGGGGAGGCCTCGCCCCAGGCGCAGGCCGGACGCTCGAGACGCTCGAGACGCGGAGCTCGGAACGCTCGGAACGCGAGCTGCCGCCTTCGCGGCGTGGCAGATTGCGCCAGGCGGCCGCGGCGGCGCCGAGCAATGTGCGGCCGCGACCACCGGAGCGCCATTTGGGGCGTGTGGTGTGTCTGGTTTTGGATGCAGAGGCTCTGCCCCGACTCTCATTGAGAGGACGTAGGACTCATTCGGCCTCAAGCCACAGGCCAGTCGACGGGAGCCTTCGAATTCCAAGCAGGTCAACTATAGTTGTATAGGCTGGCAATAGGCAACCCGCTAGCAGTATTGTTCTTTGCGGATTCCCCTTTCTGGTGTCGTTTTTTTGGTTGGGGGGGTCCCCAACAAAAGCCACCCATGTGGACACCTCTTGCCAGGAGTTTGAACCTCCGTCCTACGTGGAGGACGAGGTCTGAGAGTTTTGGCAGAATTTGTGCGGTGGTCCGCATGCTCCACGAGGGCTTTCCGCTGGAAGCCCTTGCAAGGAGCACCCCAGCCCCATGCCACGTGGGCTTCGCTGGTTGGCAAGGGATCGGCTGTGGCAATGGCATCAGCCATCGGACTTTTTCAAGAGAAATTCAACGAGATCCGAAGAATCACAAGAGTTTGGCGGATGTCACGCTTACTCGCCCTCGGAAAGGCGAGTTCTGCTTTGCCCCCCGTAGGGAGAAGACGCCGGCACGGCATTTGACTGGGTGCGTCTTTTGTATAGCACCCCAAATATTGTTAAAAACCCTTTGGTTTCCCTTAAAAACCGGAAACAGGGGGGTACCCTCCAAAAAGGCACCCTAGCATTGTTTCTGGAAGAAGGAACGAGAGAGTGCCAGACATGGCAGGGGCTGGCGACTGGTGCATGCATGGGAAGCAAGCCGGGGCTGTAGGCCATATGTCGGCGTTGAAGATACATGCATGCCAGAATTGAGGTGCGAGCTGGTCGCAGCGGTTTTATCGACCCATCTTAGAGCAGTCCTTGTTGCCTTTCACCCTCGGAGCATCCTCCGCGACCAGAGCTAGTGAGACCCGGCCATGTCGAAGACATGTAGCCGTTAATGCCATGCTTGCACGCTGGCGCGAAATTTCGCCAATAGCATCATGCCGAGGGGCGAGGACGATTTTCGCTAAAGCCATGAGGCCTCTCGTCACTTGTTTCTCCGGCGCTTGCAGACAAGTCGCTTAGCTGAAGCATTGAGTTGGATGCACTCGTTGGCCAAAAAGGGGAAAGCGCTTCGCGAGTTCCGAGCGACTTCCAAGCGGTGCAGCATCTGCGACCCTGAGAGCCAAGCCCTGATCTCCCTTTGCCAGCGGCTCAAAATGAGAGCAATGGGGTCAATGAGACGAAGAAAACCCCTAAAGCTGACACCAGCCCAGCTTCACAGCGACAAAGGCGCCTCGAAGACTTCCGTTTGTCGCGCAGGTGCCTCAAGGTCGATGGTCCTTGTGGTGTGAGAGAAGGGAGGGCAGCAAAGCAGGAAACAGAAGGCGCACGAGACAAGCAGTCTCCCGAATGGAAACTTGCTTCACGGGGACTGGGACCAGCTGCTTACCATGAGATGGTATGAGCGAGGCGCTGGAGGCTTAGATCGCGCTTTTAGGGCACCGCTTTCGGGTTTTTGTATGGGATGACACCCTTGGGGAATGACCCATGGTTCAACAAAAACGCGGCTTCCTTTTCGGAGATGTGCCTAACTGGGGTCAATACCCAGTGGGTGTATTCCCAGGGTGTAATACGAAAAGCCTCAGACGATCGGTTTGATCCTGGCGATCTGCCGCACCTTCGCATGCGAGGTGCAGCGAGGAGGATCGATTGATCCAGGCGGGTTTCCAGCATTTGGGCCTTCTTGAACCGCTTCACAATGGTGGCTGGACATGACTCCCCACCGAAATCTGAGGTCCTTAAAAAAAACACAACATGTTTCAACGAGGGCTGTATCTAGGGCTCCTTCAGCCGAGCCACCGCATGTTCGAGTGAGGCTTTGCGCAACCAGCTGCGCCACATGCAGCAAGAGCTGGGCGAGGCGGGGCAGCGTGCGCTTGCCAGCAATATGGGGGTGGTCTTTTCTTGGAGCACAGGCGTCCTATGTTGGTTTGGTTGAAAGTAGAGGACACCCATGTTTTATTTTTGATTCTCATCATTTACCAGTGCCTTCTATTCTTCCAAGAGGACACCTATGTTTGGAGGGAAAAGCCTTTCTGAGCTGTGAGCAGCACCCGCCTCGACTCACCTCGAGGTACGAGAATCTGTGGCAATTGCGGAGCACCAGGCAGAGGTGGAATCGTACCTGCCAATGCGTGTGGTTTGGGCGTTTGGATGTCGGATGGCTGCGGCTGGTTTCTCGATCCGAAGAGATGGCCTGAGGGATGTGGTTTGTTGGGTTCAGAAATCTTGGGTTTACTTGACCATGGGGATTCGACTGCTGTTCGGTCGCGAGTTGTGTGACGTGGCATTTTTGTTGGCGACATCTGGGGTTTACGACGGATGGGATTCGACTGATCTGCCGTCATCTGCGAGCAGGTTTCGTTGAGCCTCGCGTCAGGAGCACCGCGCCGAGAGCGAGGCGCTGAAGGACCTGCACAGGCCAGCGAACCCGCCCTGCGCCGGTCGCGCTGGTGGCTGGTTGCCGAGACGCCTTTTGAACCGCCTCGAGCGGGTGGTTCGTGGTTTCAAAGCGAAACAGTTGGAACCCGAACGAAGTCCATCCCGTTTTTTTTTGAAGCCCACCCGCAGAAGTCCGGCGACGCCCGAAGCGACGTCCAGGTGCCAGCTCCAGGAGACTCGGCGCCTGGCCAGGCAGCAGCAACAAGAGCGCCGCCCGGCGGCCCGGGGGGGGGGGGCCAGGCCGCTCGCCCTCGATCTCGCGAAGGAGGTCTCCACGTTGGTCTCCACGTTGTTTTTTCTTGTTCTTCTTCTTCTTCTTTTTTTAGGGGGGGGGGGGTGAAAAAAAATGGGAAGGGCCAAAGGGTGAACACCATCCATTTTTTGTTCGAGCCCTAAGAAAAAGGGCGACCCGTTGACCATCGTGGTTTTCCCTTAGGTCAACAATCTGCGGCCACCAAAGGAGATCCGGTAGCGCTGATTATGTTGGCCAGTTGACTTGACCCCCCCTCCCTTGGCTTTACACCCGGTGATGGTGTTTTTTTTTCCACGATGTTTCCTCTTCTAGTCCTTCCTTCACTATTTGGGGATGATCCAATCCCATCCCCACCGAATTCTGATGTCCAAAGGGTCCCCAATTCAATTAGATTCACACCAGATACAGATACAGGCTACCAAATGGGTCAGCTTTTGCCACGGTTCAGTCACAGCCAACTTGGCACCCTTCAAAGAAAAAGAAACAACGACCCCTCCGCCCCCCCCTCCGTTCCCCCCCCCGGTGGGTTTCCTCGCGCAGGGCACCAGGCGGCGCTGCGGGACCAGCTGGAGGAGCTCCGGCGCGAGCGGCGGCGGCGCGCGGAGCGCGCGGAGCGCGACCGCGCGCGCCGGCGCCTTGAGACGCTCGAGGCGGAGGCCGCTGACGTGGGCGACGGCGACCGAGGGTGGGGGGGGTGGGGGGGGTTGGGAGGGGGTTGGGGCTGCAGGTGGGGGTTCCTGAGACAATCTTGGGCAAACCCCGCCAATTTGGACCACCCCCCGCGCTTGGCGATTGGGTGTGGGGTTTCCTTTTTTCTCCCCCGTTATTGAGGTGAGTGTTGTGCCACGTCTTTTTGGCTCGAAAGGAAAACCAAAAAGAAGGACCGTGTTTTGAGGTGGGTTTTCAAGCATCCCGATCCCCACACAGACCATGGCCAAATTTTCAGCCCGAGTTCCGATTCTCATTTCTTTGGTCTCCAGTATGACATCTCCGCCCCAAAGGAACTTGGCGCACCTTGGGGCTTTCTGACACCAAGTTCTTTGGACAAACATCCACACAAATCCATAGGTCCATATGCTTTCCAAGATCCGTCACTTGGGGTGTGGCTGAAAATCAAACAGGAGGGGCAAATCGCAGCTTGTGGTCCATGTTTCGACCTACCGATCGGGCAGCCCATGCTGGAATCCCGGTTTTTTGAGTTCGCCGCAGCCACTCGGAGAAAAAAGACCCCAAGGCGGACACCAAAAACGGACCCCGCGCGAACTCGAAGGAGGTGCAGCAGCTGCAGCAGGAGGTTTCAGAGGCGCAACTGCAGCTGCTGGACCTTCAAGGCCCGGAAACCGGGGGGGGGGGGAGCCCTCCTGGTCGTTTTTTTTTTTTTTAATATATAAACAAAATGAGGGACTTTTTTTTGTTTGGGGTGGGTGGGTTGAAAGGGAGACCACTAGGAAAACCACCATTCCAGGGGTTCCACAAAGACAGACCACAACGAAATCAATCATTTTTGTTTTTGTGTCAAGACTAGGGGGACCAACAACACTCGCACCAGTTTCCCTTTTGGACTCTCTTTCAAGCGAACCAACCAGAAGGATTTGATGCCTGAGGAAACCTCCAAAGTGATGGGTGGACATGAATCCCGAAGTCTGTCCACAACGTCGGGTCCCAAAAAAGGGCCCATTGAAATTCAAGACACAAAGGCCGATGTGCCCGGCGAAAAAAGAGGCGATGCGCCTTTCTCATCGCAGTGTCCCAAAACCTAAATTGGCACCCTCCACGCGCCACCCATATCCCATATCTTTGAGGGGCCCCTTTTCTTCAGGTTGCTTTCATGAACCATGTTGGGTCTGCCAAGTTTTTCAAGGCTCCCTCCCCGCTCCTCCCCCCAAATGGTCTTGTTGTTGGCTTTGTTTCTCGTGTACACACTACAGCCGCGAAGAAAAAAGGGGTGCGCCCTCAAACAAAATGAAGGGGAACACCCCTACAGCCGCGAAACACAACCCCCCTGGCGCCCTCAAATATATATATATATATGAATACACGCATATATACATATAAGTATACAAAACCGGCGCGCCCTCGGCTCGTGTGGCAGGCTGCGGGCGGCAGCTGCGAGAGGAGCTGCAGGAGCTGAAGCGCCAGGAGCGGTTCGCCCGCGAGGTGTCGGTGGAGGCGTCCTTAGGTGAGCTTGGTGAGAAAAATGGATGGGTTCCACTGGTTTAGGTGGGGTTTAGTCCATTGATCAGGGAAACCAATCCATTTTTTCTACAAGGCCACCCAAAAGTGGTGCTGTCCTTTTGGTGTCCCCAAGCAAGCCTTGAAAGACACCAGTTTGAGACCTGCTCCTTTTGGGTACAGCAGGCCCAAAACCGGAAGACAAGTAGGGAGTTGCAGCCCAGAGACGAGTGAGCCACAATCAAACTCCGGATCTGGTAGATGAGAGTTAGTAAGGGGCAGTCCCAACCAGAATTGGGTTCGGAAATTCGCAATTTTAGTGCTTTACATGGCTTTGGGTACATCATTTTGAGACCCGGTTTTAATTATAACTCAGGCGGTTTCCTTTTGGTGTCCCAAAAATCGGGCGTCCAAAGCAAAGGATCAGCCAAATAGGGAGTTGCAGCCCCTAAAATGGCCAGGGTTTCCTTTCAACTCCAGGTTTTTTGGAGGGCACCCCCTTTTGGGCGTGCTTTAAAGACGGAAACCAAAGCACAACGCTGGGTTTCGGGGGTTCCGACCCGTTTCGAGACACACCCATTTCCCGCGCGGTTGTAGCATCAGGCTGGGAGTCCGTTGGTCTACTTCCTGTTCGTTTTTTAGGTGGTCTGTTTGCAGCTGCCACATGCTGGGTGGTCAAAGGGAACTCCAAAAATTTCCCACCGTAGGACCCTCGGACCCGGGAAAAGATTGAAGGCTCCACAGTTTGGGGGGGCGGGTTGAGGCGTGCTAGGGTGACAAAGGTGGATACGACGGCTTTAGGAACATTTGCCAGTGGACCAGTTAGATGACCTTCCACCTGCAGCCTCAAAATCCATTATTGTTTTCATGTCGTTCCATGCTTTCTACGCTTTTCATGTCAATGGTGTTCATGTCTTCGACTCTTTCCACGTTCTTTTCTTGTTTCGTGTGGAGATGTCACCCGTCGAATTTCGTCCAAGTCGCACATCGGTTGGCCCAGGAGCCGCGGCCCGCATGGTCTGGGGACCGTCCGGCCACACCGAAGACTGGGTGCCCAGGGAGGTTGCATTGAGCCAGCCAGATGGGTGGCGCTCGTGTTTGCTTGATGCTCGGTACCCTTTGGGTTTCACAAAGAAACCAGGAAAGCCATCATTTAGGGGATCCCTGATCTTAACAGATTCTCACTTGGCGAGGGTATCCTAAAGCAATTCAAGGTAAGAGGAAACACAAGTCAATCATTCTTTCTTCGCAAGGCAGTCATTGGCAAAGCGAGAAAGTTTGAACCACCATACAATCACCATACAATCGCCATACAATCAGAAAATCACCATATAATCGCTATAATTCCTGTTTTCTTACCATCCATATCCACTAGAACTATACAACCACGAGGTATTTGTGCGCCACCATTCTTCCTTCCCGAACAATCACCCCGGCCACACGGGGGGCAAGGCCCCCTGCTCCCAGGAGGCCGAAAGAGGCGAAGGAGCTGAGCTTTTCGCCCAGGCGCCTCGGGAGCTCCCCAACGTTTTTGGCGCCTGGGTGGGTGGCTCCGTCTTTTTTCTTTGGACCTGGTTAGCCTGTTTTTTGGTTGATTTCGAAGAGGAAGCCGCCAAAAGGAGCACTGTGGCTCCGTCTGTTTTTGTTTGGAGCTGGTAACCCTGTTTTTGTTGGTTGGTTTCGAAAAGGAAGCCAAAAGGAACACCGAAGCCCTTTTTGTGGATCCCGTCCAAAACAAGAGAGAGAGAGGAGAGAGAGAGACCCATGTTTTCTGATTTGCCTGGTTCGAGCTGGCTGGTGTTTCGGCCAAGAGGTTGCTATCACAAGCCCCAACTGCACGTTTCCGCATGCGGGTGCACCAAGCGAGCCGCGCAGCATGTCGCGCATGACCTGTTGCTCAGGAGTCCGGGAGACCGATCCTTTGTGCGGCAGGCCATCTGAGAGCGACATGGGCTTCATTTGGCTGTGGTCAAGAATAGGTACCCAAAATGGAGCCCTGGTAAATGGAACCAAGGACCAAAGCCTGCAGTCCATATCCTGGTGCTTTAATTTTGACCCATACTCATCTATCAATTGGGGCGGGGGGGAGATATTGTTTAAATTTTCACAGCTTGGAGCTCCAGAGTCATTTCCTTTCCCTCGACTTTAATCTCGGACCCATGTTTTGGGTGCGTGGTGTCCTTTTGGTTTCCTGTTCAAACCAACAACAACTCCAACAACTCCAAAATCCCCAAAAAACACCCCACCCCAAAAAACAACAACAGCAACAGAAAACGGAAAAAGAGAGAAAAAGAAACACAAAACAACAACAATGAATCCAACACCCAAAACGGGCAACCCCCGGCCGCTCGCGCCGCTCGTTTTGAATTCAGGGCGAGGCTCGCGAGGCCCAGCAGGAGCTGGCAGAGCTCCAGGCGCGTCGAAACCGTTACGTGGAAGTTGGAAAGGTGTTTTGGGTTCCCAGCAAAAGGGTTTCCTTTTGGTCTCACCAACCAGTTCAAGCCATCGAAAATTTGGCTTGGTTCAACTTACAAATATTCTTTTTTCTTTTGGAGCCTGGAGAGTTCTTGAAGTTCTTTCGAAAGCCGGGTACCACAGTCGTTTCCTTCCACCTTGGAAGCCAAAAGGAGAACTAAATACCAACAAAAAGGGGTGCCCCCCCCCATGAGACGAAGGAATGGAAGCTATATACACTAAACCGCCTGCGAGAATGTGTCTCCCACTTGGGAGAATTCGACTCAAGGAAGCGGTGGGTCCGCGCAAACCTATTCAAGCATGATGCCGCATTCCGTTGCCTCATGTGCGGCATTTGTTTCCGACAATTTGTCAGCCCAAGTTGCAACAGCTCTGAGTATTTTAAATTTTCTGTTTAAGAAGAGCTTGTAAACGGTGAAAGGTCCAGTGACAAGGAAAGAAAAGCCGCCCTCACCACGTCGCACGAGTCTTATTCGAGTGATCCGCCGATTCGCCGTTCGCCGCTCGAGGCCTCACTGCGGAGGGAGCAGCGGCGGGGGGACCAGCTGCACAGCCGGGAGCGCACGCTGCAGCAGAGGCATCGCCAGCTGGAGGCGCGTTTCGCGCGGGTGGAGGACCGGACCATAGGCGTCCTTTTTAGGTGAGCTTGGTTGGAAAAATAGATGGGTTCCACTGGTGCAGATGGGGTTTAGTCCATTTACCAGGGAAACCCATCCATTTTTCCAAAAGACCACCTATGCGGATGCCCGGAGTCGGGTTTGGGGCGGCAGGAGTCAGATGAGTCAGATGTGCCGCATCGAATATTTTCTTTGGAAGGGGAAGAGCGAAACCTCAGGCTCGATTTCCGGAAGCGCTTTTGAAAGGGTGGGGTTTCAGCTCACTCGAAGAGACGCTCCCCGCTCGCTTCGCTCGCTTGACCAATCGATTGATCAGATGCTCAGGCGGCCTTGAAGGAGAACCGCATGTCTCAGGCTCCGAGTCGCCAGTCGCGCTCGTCGCTTGCCCCGACTCGGGCGGCTGCGCAATGATTGCAGCGACCTCGCCTAAGCGCTGCAAAGGCCACTGCAACAAAGGCTCCAAGACAGGAAGAGCTTTCCGAACCCACATGAGCCTTGTAACATAGGTGCCATCTGACTGCGAGGTGCCCCCCCGCCCATTGAGGGCTGGGAATGGCCAATGCAGGTTTTAGCCTTCAGCTTCAATCTTTTCCTATCGCCGGTTCGACGTCGCGTGCTGGCAATTCTGTCTCAGCCTATCCAGTTGTTGTTCTGCTTTTCGTTTCCTTGGTGCGAGAAGCACGAGCACCTAAAGGATTTCTCCAAGCAACTGCCTGGATTTCTTTTCGGTGTGGGGATTCAGACCAGAAGTGGCCAAACTGTTCTCCTCGTGGTTTCCCCCCCAAAATCCCTTCTCAATTCCTCTCTCCTTGGTTAGTCCCCTTGGTTTCCCTAACCCAGGGGACTAACCAACGCCAAGCGAGCCGATGCTTCACCCATCCGGCGCCCAGAAGCGAAGGCCAAGAGCCTCAGCGACGTGAACGCGGAGCTTCAGGCCGGGTGGTCTCTCGGTCGATTGCCGGCGGCCAGCGGATCTCTGAAGACATGAGCCCAAAAAAGCGCAACATCCCTTTGAAGCAGATTCCTTCACCATGCGCAAGATGCACCCAAAAAGTCCCTACCTAGAAAAGGCCAGACACCGAAAGGAGTTAGACACCCGAAATCAAAGTCCGTTTGTCCAAAGCTTTTGAGATATCCGAAAGTCCGAAACGCCCAGTGCCACTCGGAGCGCGCCGAGGAGGGCGCGCACCACGTGCAGCGGCTCCTGGGCTTTGCGCTGCAGGCCCCCAAGGCGTTTGCCTCGGGTGATCCCGGCTTCGGGTAACTGGAGCATCAGGAGCCAGTTTTTGTTCCCGGGGTTCAGCCCCGGCTGGTGGGTAGATAGGTGATTCGGTAGGTGGGTGGGTGGGTGGGTGGTTGGTCGGTAGGTAGGTAGGTAGGTTGGTTGGTTGCGGGGAAACGGAGGAGGAACATTGTGCCTAATGTTTAATTTGGATTGCAGAATGAACATGACTTCGTCCCAGCGAAACAGGGTGTGCGAGTGGAGCTACCAGCAGACCGTTTTAGCCACGAGGAAAGCGTGGTGGTGGTCGTTGTCGTGATTGTGGTTGCGGTGGTTGTTGTTGTCGTTGTCCTCGTCAGAGGTACCATGTGCGATGTGAGCCTCAAAGGAGGTTGGCGGGCAGGCAAATGAAATGCAGCGAGGGGTCGTGAAACCTCCAGCGCAAAAACAGAGACCTGAAAATTGGGAGGGAGGAGCAGGACCTCAAAATTCAGCAAAGTGCAAACAGAGCCCAGATGCTGCCGCACACTAAACACAGGAGCCGCCGTATCACAGTTGACATTCAGTCGGAGGCATGGTGGAAATTGGCGCGGCAGACAGGTCCAAACAACACCCTGGCAGCAAGGACCCCATGCGAATCCCATGCACAGTGAGCATCCACAGGGAATTTGAGCTGGATTTTCCATTCAACCAAGCAGGTTCCCACAGGAAACAGATGCTTAAGAGTGAAGCGGGATCTAAAACCACAGCACTGCGAGAATCGCTGCCGCAGCCGGCCAGTGAAGGGTGAAAGAGGCCCACCAGGTTTTTCGTAGAACGCCGCAGAACATGGATAGCTCAAACAACGCGAAGTCGTTGTCAGTCACCCGGGACTTGTTGGGTCGGTTTTGTCCCGTCAGCTGTTCCAAATGCCTCACAGAAATGGGCGAGCCATGACCCGGAATCAAGATCGCAAATTCATGCAGAGGGAGCGTAAAGGTTCTTTGTATCCCGACGATGCGCCAAGGCCCCATGGTCTAGTGGGTGAGTGTGGGTGGGGATGGGAGGAAGGGTGGCAGGAAGGGAATGAGATAGCAAATGTATGATCGCTATACTGCAACAACATGCGATAACCACCACAGCGAAACAGAGCATGGAAGCGCAGTGCGGCTTATGGGCGGCCCTGGCATGTCTTTGCGCGTTTGAGGTGGCCGCTGTGGGGGCTGACTCACGCTCAACAGGCTGGCAAACCATGGCACAGCCACATTGCGGTCACGACTTAGTCCGTTTATAGTGCCACTCGGTTTCGTGCGCATGCTTGTGAGCTTGATGGCAAATTGGGTGAAGGTATGCCAAGTTGCCGGTGCAATTGCGATTCATCGCCAAGGCGAGAGTGACTACAGGAACGAGGCCGGGCACATGACTAGCGCGTGGTCGACGCAATTTTCGAGGGCTGACACTGGGTTGCTTCAACTTGACATGGTTGACTTGTTAAAACTTGCCGAACAAAATGGAGATTGCGACAACAGGGCAACTCATTCTCATTTGCTCCTTTGGTTTGCTCTTTGACCATTTCTCCTTTGACCTTGTTGAACTCGACAACCTCCCAATCTCGTTTGCAAGAAGTCCAACTTGCGGGCTGAGCCACCAAAATGCATGGCACACTGGATACGGCTCAAGCATGTGAAGCAGTGCTGGCCTGCACTCGCGGGCAGCAGGAGGGGCTATGCCCGGATCTTTGGCGCAACGTGGCTGAAAGATTCCTGCCCTCCCCCCCAAAAAGAAGAAGAAGAAGAAGAATAAGAAGAAGAAGAAGAAGCACACAACAAAACTCAAAAGCACTCCTGTCAAGCTTTAGTATCCCAAGACTTTGCGAATGGGCTTACTTTCTTTTTGAGGTTACCCTTTGGCAGGCACACCAAAAGCAAGAAGACCGCCGGCGTTCTTTTTGTTGGGGTCCAAACCATGCACCAAAACACCACGCGACGAGCCTTGCGCCCCGAGCGAGGCACGTGGAGGCCGGCCACGAGAATCCCGCCTCCTTCGCCAACTACAGCGCCTCGCCGTCGAGAAAAAATCAAAAAAAATCCGGAGAGTCATGGGTGCCCCAACGGGATTTTTGAGGCTGGCCCCAAAGGGAGGGTTACCCGGTGCTTTTCTTTTTAGCTTCTTTCCTTTTTTCTGTTCTGGGCTGGGTTTCTTTTAGGGCTGGTCACCCGGTTTCCTGGTTGGCTGGTTGGCTGGCTGGCTGGCTGGCTGGTTGCAGAGTCAGCCATTCGCTTCGCCTAAATCAAGCCCAAACCACCAGCCCCCTTGACTTGAACCAGTGCCATGGCAACCCCAGGTCCAAATGACGCTGGTGATGCTGGGGATGTTGCCAGCCCTGCAGAAAACCAGCCCTGGGGGAAAAAAACAACAGCCCAAGAGAAAAAAGAAGCATGGGAGATGGGTCAAAGGCAAACCAGAAGGAAAACCGTTCGGCCATTTTGCAAATCCCCTGTTTTACACAAAGCACCGTGAAATTCCTGAAGATATACGCAACATCTCTAGGAGAGAAACCCCACTGCGTCTCCGCGTCTCCGCTGTGCCAGATGTGCCGGACAACGGCACGCAAGCCAATGCTCCGGCGCCGCCGATGAGGCATGCCACGCACAAGGAGATGTGTGTGTGTGTGTGTGTCAACTATATTATTGTCGCGTCTTTTGCAGCCGTTTCAAAGGGAACCCAAAAGGAATGCGTATGAACGCTGTCATTTGGCCAGCTTCAACTTTGTGAGCTCCGATTTGGTAGTTGAACCCCTGATGAAACCACCCCCCTATCCGACAAACCAATCCAAATCACCAATCGGAGAGACGCTGAGTTGTGTTCCGCGTCGTTTGTAGTTGATGGATTCTAGTGGGCAGAGAAAGAGAAATCCACAACATGTGTCTTTGATCTCTTGATCCGCGTGCATGGTTCAATGTGCCATGAATGATGCCATGCGGCCGTCCAGGATTTCAAGTTGATAGAGTCTGTGATTGGGCCACCAGATGGTAATTTGTATGCAACTCTTGAATGTCTCGTGGCACAATATGGCACCAAAGAATGTGAACAATGAAACGCATCCAGCGACGGATTCGACGCGAGTACGACATCGTGAAACTTCATGTCGTGTAAAACCAGGATACTTTAAGTATCACATGCAAAACCGATCACTATTGCACTGAGCGGACATCTAGTGATGAGGGTGAGCATGATAGCAGGAACACCAGCAATGAATAGACACGCTTTTTGACGACGGCTTGCATCATGAGGCATGTAGGCAAGTCAATGAGGGTGAGGGATGTAGATGCCATTATAGCCAACCGGTTTGGAATGTCATGGTTAACGCGTGCTGCTTGTTCTTGGAGTCGCCCAACGTCTTATTCTCTTCGCTGGTATACAGAGGGAGCCGGTCATGGGCTTTTCAAAATCCAAATCGGTTAGCCCCCAGTGAACATCCGATTCAATCCAACCACTAAAATAGGCTCTAAAATGGGTGGTGAATTCACCTGCCAACCAAAATGGGATCCCAAAACGGTTTTGACAACCACAGCCATATCTTTGAGAACCCAAGATCCTGTGACTTTCTTTGGCGCATTGAAGGAGAAGCTGCCGCAGTACGGCTCCCCCTACTTGCCGCTCGCTTCGGACCGCCGAAGGGTCTGGGGATTTCCGCGCGCGGGTCACACTTGGGATGCCGGGTAAACTTGGCAGGCCATCGGTTTGTCTCACAGTGAGACCCCTTTCATCAAGTTGACGGTTGAGGCAGTTCTTAATCTGGGAAACAAGCTGGTACATTCGCATGTTTGCGAGGCGATGCCAATTGCAGGACGCATGGGAGCATGTCAATTGCAGGAAATGTCCAAGTGTTGCTAACTAATTCCAAGGTGCTATCCCATGATCGCGCTGAAGACGCCCGATGGCTCGTGCCTTGTTGAGAAACTGGCAGAATTGGAACTCGCGGGGTCAAACCAAGCAGAGCGCCCTGGAGCTCGTGTTGGTCTGCCAAGCTTGCCTTGCCAGACGTTTTTGTGATCTAAGGCAGCCAACACCCATGGCTGCTTGGCTGCACGAAGTCCAGTTTTGCCCATTTACTTCGCTAGGAGGCAACCTGAGTCATTGATGAGCTGGAGACAACGATGAACCGGAGTTGAGGGGAACAACACAGACTCCCACTGGGCCAGAGTTCATGCTTCAGCTACAATCCAATCTGGCAACAAGGTCACCTTTTTTCTTTTCCAAGGACGCTAGACAGGCTATTGTCGTTTTGTGATAAGGAGTGCCAGCAATCCTGACCATGCAGAAGGAAGTGACCGGGGCTGCTTCATGAGCTGGTTGATTCCAGATTTGATGAATTTCAATACGGAACCGCCTCAAAAGTGGTTGGATGTCCACCAGTCTGGGCCCCTACTTAAGATTCATGTTTTCAGGTGTCCTTTTTGGCTGTGGTAAACCACCAGGGGATGTGTCCTCTTACATGGGTTCCATTTTGGGGTTACCCAATTTTTGACCCGCTGCCATTTATTGATGCCAAAAGGACACATCTGTGCCCTACACACCCGACTGGCAGAGGTCGCGTCGATGCCGCTGCTGCCGCTCCCGCTCCAGAAAGCTCGATGCCGAGCGCGCAGGGCAGGCTTCCTGTGATGCGACCGGCCTGAGGAAAACGGGCGCTGCGCTGGTGGTTTTGTTGGTTTCCGGTCTCGAAATAGGTTGGAGCCCTTGGTGGATGGTTTTGTTCATTTCTATAAAGGGAAGCCAAAAGAAAACCAACCACCTAGGGGGGCTCTAATTTTGAGACTTTGTTTCTTTTTTTTCGAGTTTTTTTTTGTGTGTGTGTGTTTGTGTTTTGAGTAAGTCACTGGGGTACAAGCCCGAAGCGCCAGGGCTACGAAACTGTGCGAGAGCCTTAGCAGAAACTGCCATCACGCCGTGCCTCGCAGTGTCACGCGAGGCGTATACCCTCCTGCGTGCCACAAACACGGAATCTTCGGGTGGCTGGAATTCTTCTTTCAAAACCATCAGCTAAGGCGGATTTCTAAGGTCAGATATCTCTAAGGTAAGGTATCCTCAACAACTTAAGTCTGAAGTGGTTTGGTTTGGGGGTTTGAACCCCCAGTTCCTTTTGCAGCATGGGGCAGGTACCTTCGTAACGTCCACACCACCCGGCGCGAAGCTTCCAACGAGGTGCCAGCCGCCCCCGTCTCCGTCTCCGCCCTGCTGCGCCGGGCCTTTGCCGGGCAAAGGCGAGGGCCGTCCGCCGACGGCGCGCCGTCGCGTCGGGTCGACCAAATGTTTCGCGCCGAGGGCTTGATCGGCTCAAGAGGCGCTTGAGGCCTCGAGGGCCCTAACATGCAATCATCAATTGAAAGAACACGCAAGATAAACATATTATATATAATATATACATATATATATATATATACATGTATATATATATATATACATGTATATGTATATATATATATATATATATATTATGCATAGACAACATACATGAGGTACACATTTTCACATGCACATTGTTTATATTATATACACATACACATGTAAAGCACTGTATTTGTGTATACGATGTGTGTATTTATATAGATCTACACATATTACAAAGATAGCAAGGAGACAGCCTTTTTGTACCACCATCCGGGGGGGGGGGGACGCCTGTTCGATGCCAACCACATGCGGCGGTTCTTTGCCGTGTGCGGCTTGGCGCTGGTGCTCGGGCCGGCCTGGTGCAGGCCGGAAGCGATCGCTCTCTTCAGATGGAGAGATGGGTGTGGTGCCTTTTTCTCAAGGAATCCCCTTTTTGGCCGGTGTTAAGCGAAACTACAGGGAAAGCCGTGTTTTTGGGGGGTACCTCGAAAAAGGCAGATGTGGGAGTTTCCGAGAAAAATGGATTTCGGGACCCCCCCGTTTGCCTTTTGGTTGGTTTTCAGAACCTTCCGTGGGTGCCAATCATTTGGGGCAGACTTGCACTTGCAGGCTCGAGAGGGTGGCATGCAGGGCCGCTCGTCTGAGATACTTAGATCGCACACTATGCTTCAAATGCAAAGCACGCGCGTCAGTTACCAGCGGTTTCAGAGGGGTCGTTCTGAAATGGTATGCTCTTTGTAAACGATGGGAACATGTTTTTCGCTCTACATGGTGGGTTGACGGGCTGCTTGCTTTCACAGGGGTCGCTTTTGTTTTCAGTTTCGGCGGCAGTTTCAGAGGCCTCAAGAAAACTCACATGTCAAGATGGGGAAACTTCACGTGGGTCGTTTCCTTCTTCCCCTTTTGGCCGCTTCACGGGGTCGCTTTTTGGTTTCTCTGCCCTGGAAAACGGGGGCTGCGATCCTTTGGGACAGACGGACGTCGCATTTCTCGAAGCCGAGGCGCGGCCCCTGAGCTATGGCAAGTCTCTGCAGTGCCCTGGCCGGCACCACCAGTGGGTAACCACCCGCTGGCGGTCGAAGGCAAACCAGGAGGTTTTTTAGCCTAATTACAAGTTGTTTTGTTGTTTTTGTTGGTTTCTCTTTGACACCACCGAAAAAGGGATACCGGAAGGACTGGTTTTTGTTGTTCGTTGACATTTTTTTGTGGTTTTTGGTTTTCTCTTTAAAGCCACCCCAAAAAAAACATCCAAATAAGACAAGAACATACGGCGGATTGTGCGGGTAACAACGTGTTTGGTGAAACTCTTTTTTTTGGGGCCACTGGCGGCTCAGAACCCAGGAAGACTGCGGGCAACAACCTGCGCCCGGGTGAGAGGCCTCGCGGCCACGGTCTCATGCCAATCAGTTTTGATCGTCTTTGATCTTTGAGTCCTTTGGGTTGCAATAGACGTCGTTTTCTTTCGAAGGTCGACTCTCGACCTTCACCCGTCGACCCGTGGCTCCTTTAAAACGGGCACCGTGGTGGGTTTTGCCGAAGCCAACAGGACATTTCCCGTTTTGTTGGGTCCAAGTCCTTTAAAAAGACGAGACACCGTGTGGTGATTTCTCTCTCGGGGCCCCGTAGGCGCCGTGACTTGCCGCAGCTGCCTGCGGAGCTCCAGCACCGGGCGGGGTAGCGAAAGGCGAAATGGTGAGTTTGGGGACATGGTGAACTTGTTTTGGCGCGTTTTGGCGGCGTATGCAAAGGTTGCAGGTTGTACAGGGCTCCTGAAAAAATAAATTCCATCTTGCAACCATTTGAAACATGTGGCTTTTTCAACACCAAAATAAAGGGACAACACCATGTACAGGGCAATGTTCAGGTGTATAATGTAAGGATCCCTGTTTTAGTGTCTGTGTTGCGGAGGGACTTTTATACATATCGTTTGTATCTATTTTTCCGGGGAGAAAGGGGGTGAGGGTGCCCTGTTTTGGTGGTATTTATTTGAACGGGAATCGAAAGGGAATCCAACCATTGCCAGCCAGACACCATATGCATCCTGTTGGTTTGGTCTGCCTGCCGTTCCCAAAGGACGGAAGTCTGGTGAAGCCATTTGTGCACATCCCGGCGTTTTTTGCTCGGGACCCTTTCAGTGGGTGGTTGCGAAGGGAAAACATCAGGAACATCGTTTGGCAGTTTTTTGGGGGCTCCATATTAATATGCCTATTCTGAGACAAACAAACCCAGACAAACACGACGAGTGCTCGATGCCAGGTTGACGCTTTGGTGAAGTGCTTCGAGGTGTACCAGACACCCCAGCTCACGCCACAGCAGATGCATGAGGAGTACTGCTCCCACTTTAGGCGCGGCCGGAAACACAGCTTTTCCCCAGGCTTCGAAATTCTCGGAGAAATCTTGGACAAGACGCCGTACAGAAAACAACATTTGAGATGCATGTTCGATCACAAGGCGCCTCGAACAAACACACACTCAATTCGAATGTCTTACAAAGACAATTGTCCACAGAATGAAGGGAACTTTTGGTCCAACAAACTTTGAGTGACATATCAAAAGAGAAACGGGAAACGCCACCCTCCCTTCTTCTTTGCATTTGCAAATCTTTTGCTTTCTCGTTGTTCTTGGTTCTTTTCCCCGTCCTGTTTTGCAATCCACATGCTTGCAGTAAATATGGATTGGGTCGGCTTTGCTCGGTCGGCTTCTGAGGGTTTAATCTCACGAAATATGCATCAGTTCTTTTTCCGTTTTACGTTTGCAGTTTGTATGCCCTTGCGTGTTCTTGTGATGTCGTCATGTGTTTCGGCTTCAAGTCGTTAGTTTCTGCTGTTTCCCTAAGGGTCCAAGTGCCGTTTAAGGAGGTACCAAATGACCCGCTACAGCAGGCGCCCCTCAAACACTATCAAAGTACTTGGACCATGTGGGTTTGTTTCCATGTTTCCTTTCTGGGTTTGTTTCTGCTTGTTTCCCTTTGTTTCTGTTTGCTTTTCTTTCTGTGTTTCCTTCCTTTCCTCTGTTTCACATCTTTGACCCCTCAAAATCCATCTGAAACACCATCGAAAGGGTACAACAGCTTTGAGCAAACCCTCCAAAACCCTGAAAAGCCCTGAATACTTCCATGAAAAGCTCTGACAACAACCCTGAAACACTGTGCAACACCATTGAACAACTCTGAGCAAACCCTGAACCATCTTTTGAAACGCCCCTCCCTCAAGCCTGAGAAAGCCTGAGAAAGCCCCCCAAAAAAACCTGAAAATCCATGAGGTTCCGCGCCGAATCCCCGCGCCGAATTGCGCTGAGTCGCTCGTAGAGGCCGGAGGCCGCGAGTGCGGCCTGGGAGGAGCTGGAGCCGCGGGCCCTGGCGCGGCTGCTGGCGGAGGAGCTGCGGCAGGAGGCGGTGGAGGGCTTCGTGGACGCGGCTCGGTTGGAGCGGGGATTGGAGCGGTTGGCGCGGTGGAGTGGGGGGGGGAGGGGTGGGGTGGAGGTGGGGGTGGAGTTGGGGGTGGAGTTGGGGGTAGAGGTGGATTGAGCTAAAGTCAACTGATTGGAGTGGAGTGGATTGGCTGGGGTCGGGGTTCGGGGTAGCAGGGGGTGGGAATTGGGCGGGCGATTAGATTGACCTGAGCTCCGGTTGGATTGGAGTGAATGAAGCTCTGATTGGACTTGATTTTGATTCAGTTCGATGGATTTCGATGGATTTCGGGGCTGGAGCTAAGCTGAACTCATTGAACCGGCAGCCCGTGAGGTGGGAAGCGGACTGGGGAAGCTGGTGGTACTGGCAGCAGCAATCACGCCTGCGACTTGCTGGGGCATCGAGCGGCTTGGCGCGAGTCCATGCGATGTACGCGTGTCCTTTTTCAGGTTGGACCCCAAGAGTGGTGGTTTTCGGTTTTCCTATTGGTTTCCCTTTAAAAACCAGCCTGAAAAGGGCTACGCCAAAAGCGGTGTACGTCTTTTTAGAGGCTGGCCCCAAAAGCGGTGGTTTTGGGATGGGCATCTGGTGTTTCCTGTGGCTCGTGCTTTTTTAGGTTGGACCCCCCAAAAGTGGCTTCGGCTTTCCTGTTGGTTTCCCCAGTAAAGCACTAGCCTGTTACCGAGCCTCAAACTAACACCAAGAAAACCGTGTGGATCTTGCTAGGCTCCTCTGCATTGAGTCTACACTTTCAGGGATAGAGCCCAGACCACCTGGGTTCCAAAGCCTTCCTTTCCGAAGAGTTTAGCAATTGGAAAACCTTCTTGCAACCATCTTGGAAATGCTTTCCGGTTCCCAAACGCCACCTGGAATGAAGCCTCGTTTTCCCACCTGAACTTGATTTGCCTAAGACCATGTTTGTATTTTCCCCTGTTGGTTTGAAAGGAGTCGACCCCCAACAGGGCATATTCTCTGATTTTGCCCAGGGTGCCTACATGGACCTTCAGCGCCCCCTCTTCTCGAGCGTCTTGCGAGGCTGAGCCCCGTGCGCGCCGCGGAGGCCCGGCGCGCCTGGGCGCAACTCCAGAGCGAAGCGGACGCGGCTTTGCCCTGGACCCGGCGGGTGAGGCCCCGGCGCCTGGGAGAGGGTCGTGGCGGCCGTGTGTGGGTATGAAACATATTATTGCTACAGGTGTTTGCTTTTTTTTTTGTGTTTCTACAGGTGTTTTTGTTTCTCTTCCGGTAAAAACATGTTGTTTTTGATTATTAGGTTGGGTTCTTCCGAAATGGACTTCATTCCTTTTGGCGTCCCTTTTCCGGCCCAAAACAGTTGGTGGTTTGGGTTGGTGGGTTGGAGAAGGGAATTGTTCCATCCCACAAGAACCAGGGTTTAAGTCCCCAATAGGTGAGAAAGGAAACCAAATGCACAGCCACCGATATTGGGGGATTCCTTCCTATTTTGACACATGCGGACACCCAAAATGGTTTTTAATTTGCTTTCCTGTTGGCTTCTCTTACCAACCCGTGCGGTAATTTCCCTAGAATAGACCTTGAAACCACCCCCCAAAGCTTGTCCGAACCCCAAAAATAACAAACGGTGTTTCCTTCAATGTTTTCGGTTCTCCTTTTGGTTTCCCTCTTTGAAGCAACCAACCAACACCGAGGGGGTTATCCATTTCTCCCCCCGCCCCCCCAACAAAAGCAAACGGCCAGCCCCATTCGCTCGCGAGCTTTTTGAGCGCACTCGCGCTCCCTTCGCTCGCATTCGCTCGGCGAGGCTGCTGCAGGGCAGCTGTCTGAAAGACCTCCCCGCGGAGGCGCTGGAGGCCTCGCACTTCCTCTTCACCATGCGCCGCGCCGGGGGCCCAGGCGCTCGCCCCGGGCTCGCCGGGTCTCTCGGTTTTCGGTTTTCGGCGCCGTTTGTTTCGTGCTTGGCGGCGTTGCCTTTTTTTCTTGCTCGTCTCCGGCTTTGCCGGCGGACACGGCGGAGCTCGGGGGTATTTGATGAGGGTTCGTTTAACAGTTGAGGTGTTTGGGGTTGCTCCTCTGGGCTGGAAAGCTATAGGGTGCTTGGGACCGAATAAACAGGTACCGCAGCGATACGGATCCGCTCAGGTCGGCAAACTGCCCCGGGGCACGCGCCAGGTGTCGGACGCTTGGCAGGCAGTCAGTCCACGTCGAAGTCAAGGCTGCTGGGTAGTGCAAAATTGAGCACATATGGATTGCATTGTGTCGTACTAGTGCATTGGTTGTAATCAATCGGACATGTTACATGTCAAAGTCAGCTTCCCTTTGAACCTAAAACATTGACTGAAGCAATCTAAACACAGAACCCGAGCCCTGAAACAAGGCTTTTGTCGTGTCAAAATGAGGGGACTGCCTGGAGCTGAGGAGCGCTTCCTGGACCTCCTACAGCAGTGCGCAGCCAAGGAGCGCGTGCTGTTGTCTGTGGGCAAACGTCTGGAGCCCCGCGATGGGCTGGACGCCCGGTCGCAAGTGGAGGCGGAGAGTGGGTGTTTCTTGGCCCGCCAGTGTCAGGTTGTTGTTTCCCGCCAGAAGCTGGATTCTTGACTTTTTTTTGACAACAGACGCCATGTGCCCGAATGATTTGGACTCCTTTTGAGGCTCTTGTTGGCATTTGGGGCTCCAAAATGAACACTTAGAGCCTGCATCCACGTTTTTGCGACTGCCACCCGAACACCCGAGATCAGTCGAAGAACTGGGCAGGGTACCCCACCTGCTTGTGGTTTTAAAGGGAAATCAAAGGGACACCACCATATTACTGGGGGTCCAAATCCAAAGCAACGCACCTCTCACTTCCAAGGAGCACGTGGATGCTTGTTTCCTGCGAGCTGAGTGGTCAGATGAGGAGGAAGCTATCGCAGTTCACGGCGATCAAGTGCCAGATGGATTCAACTTGTGCAGCCTCCGTTGTCGTGATGAATGGTTGAAATGCATCAATAATCAAGATTCGGGCCAGTGAAGCAGCCAGACATAGTCCACCCTGAATTAGCTGTGATCTTCGCCCCTTATACTGCTTGCCTGGTGTTGGAAGCATCTGGATTGTGACTTTTGTCCGCTGGAGGACGTATTGATTCACCGCTACATTCTGTCGAGGCGGGAGAGAAAGTGTGAATTTGTCAGCTGAGTCAGCTGTGCACAGAAGAAAAGCCTCCGATGCGAGCATGTTTCTCTTCGGGGGTCAGAATGGATTGTTCAAAGGTGGGTGGAAGAAATGTGCTCCAAGTAACTTGTCTCAACCTCAACCTCGTTGAATCATTGCGCCTACTTTTTAAGAGGCCTTGGCCAAAGAGTGAAAAGATCAAGCTACGGTTAAGCGATTTTGGCCGGGCTTTGATGCCCCGAAGATCGACTCGTGCGCTGCCCGCGCAGGTAGACCTCCGGTGAGCGAACGGAAGAGCTCGGCGACAAAAAGCGGGGATGGCGAGTGGTCATAGGCGTCCTTGTTGGGTTAGTTTGATTAAAATAGATGGCGCTGTTTTAGATGGGTTTTGTTCCATTTACCAGGGCGACCTATTTTTCCAAAAGGCCACCTATGCGAGTTCAAACGGCCGCACGTGACGTTGCTCGGACTTGGCTGCAGGTGACACAGGGACAGGGGACTCCCTGGGCTGAGTTCGCTTTGCATCCGGGCTCGGCGCCAAAAACGGCCCCCGTCTTCCAGGGCCGAAGTTGGCTTTTGGGGAGGCGGAGGGGTTTCTTCAATGGATTCAGCTCCCTTGGATCCCAGATGGGATCGGAGCTTACGTACCATACGGACACGATGGAAGAGCCATTTGTGCGGAAAAAAGCGCCGGTCTTAGAGCGGGGCGTCGTTGGGGTCAGTGGAACAGTGCTAGCTCCCTCCTCAGGGCACGAAGGCTGCAACGCAGATCGGGCCAATGCGCGCGTCATGGGTGCCGTGTTTTTTGGCCCGAAGGATGGGGGAGTACATGAAATCAGGATGTGTCGCTTTTCAGGCAGCCACTGGTCAGCTGTGTTACATGAACAAAACCCATGGTTTGCAACATGAGTTTGCACTTGAGAGGCGACCCATGCGACCCGGCTTGCAATTACAAAAACAACGCCATATGCCAATGGAGGGGTCACAGCATCAGAGTTCCGGCGCCGCGCTCTGAGCGGCGGCGCTTAAGCTCGCGCCATGAGCGCGGCTTTTCCCAAGGAAAAGGCGGAGGAGAAGCCCCGGAAGCCGCGGAGACCCGAGAACGACCTCCAGAGCTTCCTGGGCCAAGAGAACTGGAGGCCTTGCCGGGGGAACTGGAGGCTTCTGCTTCAGGGCTCAAAGGGAGCAGCCGGCGATTTGGGACCCAAACTTTGAAATTGCACCGGAAACACGGGGGGACATATGAATCAGTCTGATCTGTTTTTTGGATGAAGCCGGCTAGGGTCACATATGAAAAGTGTCTGAGGTATTGTTTTAGTGAAGCCCCCTAGTTCAGGTGACTCTTTCGTGGTTTGGATTGGTGGGATTTGAACGGGTCCCTGGGTCGAGAGGGTAAATAATAAACCACCTCTGAAGCAATCCAAGCCAGCAATTTGGTCGGGAAGCTGAGATGTATGAAAACACTTTGGCGCACTGTATTGCGGAGTTCGAATCCCTGAAGTTTATGGTTATGTTGAATCGTCTTAGCCATTGGTTGTAATAGTCGCTGTTATATTGGTTATTTTCATATTACCCATTGGTTCATCATATAAAACCTGACCCAGCACCAAAAACCAGTAGGCATGGAACAGAAGCACACCCACAGCCATTGGTTCTATCAACCGGTCATACATTACCCCTCCTGTTGCTCTATGAACTTGGCTCTGACTTCAGCCTATGGCATGCGCCGCTGCGCCCCCCCCCCCCCCCGCCACTCCCGGCGCGTCCGCGTCCGACTCCCCCCGACTCCCGACGCCGTAGGCTGCGGATCCGCAAGGAGCGGCTGCACGCCGCGCCGCTGCCGGAGTTCTCGGTGAAGCGGGCGATGCGGGCGCTGGACGTGCCCAAGAAGCCCTGCCAGGCCCGAGCGCGGAGCGGAGAGGGGAGAGCTGGAGGGGCGATTTGCGTTTGTGGGACTGGCTGTGCGTGCGTTTTTTCTTTTCTTTTTCTGATTCGGGAGCCCGTTTTGAAGGTTGGGTCTTTTTTAAGCTTGTTTGTTTTTTTCTTTCGGGGGGTGGTGGCGGGGGAGGGTGCTGATTTCGATTTGAGACAACCCATTTGTCGCGGAGGTTTGGTGGAAAACGGGCTCAAGAGGTCCTCCGGAAGAAAAAAAACACGGAAGGGCATCAAGGCGCTGCTGCTGAGTCAGCCAGGTTCAACCGCGGTGGCTGGATGAGTCGTCTCTGGAGGCGGAGTTTCGCAAAGAGCTCACGGTCAAGCGCCCTGGCTCCAGAGATGTCATGGGTGTGTCTCTGTGTGCTTCTTTGCGGGTACCCTTTTCACCTTGCTTTTCCATTTTGACGCAGATCCAAAAAAATCGATGCCACTTTGTCAATCATCTGGTCGTCCCTCGAAAGCTTCATTCAGCAGGCTTTGCCGGGAAGGGGCGGCAGAGACCAAACTAGCCTGGCTGGAACAAGACATGCCACACCCATCCCAAATTTGCCTATCCCAGCGAACCTCGGTTACCTGTGTAGCATGTCACCAAGTAACTCTTTGTAAGAAAAGGCGGCAACCAGCTTCCAGCCTCATGGTTTTCACGGTTCCGGTGCCCAACTTTCTGCCTTTTTCAGCATTCATCATTTTGGCCGCCAAGCTGGTTCCGCACATCACTCGCGCTGCCTGTTTCTAAGCACCAAGACATCCACCGAAGCCCAGTCTCGCTCAAACCTCAGCCGAACGTGAGCCGCGCGGCCGTCGAGCGAGGAGATCGCCCCGGGAGCACCTGCTGTGGCCCGAGACCTCGCAGCACCAGGTGGGGTGGCTCGTGGAGGCGCGGCCTTCCGACCAAAAAGGGCGGGCGGCTTGAAGTCCAAGCTTCCATTTGCTTAAGAAGTGTTTTGTTTGTTTTTGTTTTTGTTATTATCATTATTATTATTCATTTTTCCCCTTGTTGGCTTTACAACGAATTTATCACTACTGGACATTTTTTTCCAGGGGTCTTAACCAAATGGAAGCAAGAGAGAGAGAGAGCGGCGGCTTTTGCGTCGTTGAATGCCGACTGTCTCAAAATGGGAGCTCATGGCGTTTCTGGAATTCGACTGAAAAGGACACCAAGCGGTTTTTCTAGTGTGCGACATCCCCGCGTTTCATGCTCACGCGTGGTGGTTTGAAGTCTATCGCTCGAGACAAACAGCCGAAACCACGGCATCCACGGCTTTTGGGGTTTCCGACGGGGGAAGCCGAGCCGAACGGAGACTCACATCCAAAATGGCTCGGCTTGTTGTTTTCGCATTTCACAAGGTATGCTTGGACAAGATGAGCATTGTGTGGCTTTAGTGAAGAGGCCAACTGGTTACATGACGAATTCAAAATGTATTGGGCAAGAATCTCCCGTGCACTGACATGAAGCCAAAAACGTTTCGGGGTCCTGGCTTGGACCATTTTCCTTTTATCAGGGGGCCATTTCTCCGGTGGGTTCGCCATGGCGCAGTGCCGAACCGCGGCCGCCGAACCGCACGCACCGCACGAACCGCGCCGCGCAGGACTCGCTTGGGCTGCCCATGGCACAACGGCCCACGCTGCACGGCAGCCCGCCCAAGCTGGGCTTCGGCCTGGGCCACAGCGAGCGAGAGCGCTTTCTGACGAGCGCGGGAATCCCCGGAAGCAGACGCGCATGGAAGCCATGAGAGCCCGGTTTGTTTTCCTAGGCCGGGGTCATTCTCCCATTCTCCCAGTTGATATACATGTTGGAATGCCATAGGCAAGATTGCCTCAAACCCTTGTTGAATTGGATGAGGGTGTCCCATTGTTGGATTCAGAAGGGACTCTCACAAGCGAAAAACATTGAGTAAAGCCCTTGCTGAGTTTGATCGGGGGGGTGTCCCCTTTTTGTGGGGATTGATCACTTTTAGAGGGCCCCCCACCCTATTGATAGGACGGGTCCACTTAGATCCAGGATCAACATCAGGTTGGTCTTTCTTTCTTCTTGGGCGCCTGAAAGTGCAGGACCTCCACAACACTGAGGTGAGAAATCCCGGGTCTTAGGTGGGCGATACGATCAAGAATGTAAGTTTGCGAAAGAACACGCAGACATCAATGCTACCCGCAATTTGAGCATGGGATGTCTGCTTTGTGATAAGTCTCAGGAGGTTCATTTCAGCCAGAGTCTGTCTTAATCCAATTCCGCAAATACACGCGTGGGTCCAGCAAATCTCCGGTTCACCTTACTGGTCCTGGGGTCAAAATGTGTTTTCGGAGGCTGGCACCGCAGATTCGCGGACAAGGATGGGGTGGGTGCTGACCCTCTCCAGGCTCAAAGCAAATTTGACACGTCGGGGAGAACGACTTTAGCGGGTTTTAAATTAAATCCGGTTCGAAATGGGCAGTTCGGGGGAGGAGCTGCCAGGAGACGAAAGAAAAAAACAGTCTGCAAAACCGAAGGGCGGACTGCCCAAGTGAGATGGTTCGTTGCTTAAATGGCAAAGCTTTCCTGTCAACTTTCGTGTGTGTGTGTGTGGCATTGGTCAGGTGCTAGCAAAGGGGGTTCACATCTTGAGCACAGGACGAAACTGGATCTATCAGTGGTAGATGTGGTGCTCAACTAGCCCAGTTCTCTGTTAGTGTTGTTTCCAGTGGCTACCAACGAGATTCCCCTCGTGGCAAGATCCCCTAAAAAGCCCATGAACCAACATGGACAGGGGCGTTTGAGGTTCGCGAATGTGCCAACATTGCGGCCTTCCTTTGGTGGTTTGGATTGGTTTGGATTGGTTTGGATTTGGATTGGAGCCCCTAGCTGGTTTTCTGGGCAAGCCCACCAAGCCAATCCAAGCCAAAAAATCGTGGAATGCCGAACCCTGGGCGAAAAGGTTCTCGAACACGTTTGGACAGACCAGGTGATGTGCTTCTTTAAGTGGGGACCGCTAGCAGCCCCCCCTCCCCCCCCAAAAAAAACAAGAGAAGAAGAAGAAGTACACAAACAAACAAAACAACAGTAACAACAGAACAATAAAAATCAGAAGAAAAGGTGTGGCTTCGGTTTTCTTTCCTTTCCCTCAACAACCAACCCATCCAACCCGTTGTGCCTGTTTGTTTTCGAAAAACGAAGGCCGACCACTCCAAGAACAACAAACACGCGCGCGCCAGGGGCGCGCTCGTTTTTTGTCGAAGTCAGGACTTCGAGCCCATGGTGCCCAGTCCGTCCACCCCGAGCACCGCCTCAGGCTCGAAGGGCTTGGCATCCGGGTTGGTTATGCATGTTTTGTTTGAACCAAAAAGTGAGAAAAAGCCAAGCATCGGGTTGGGTTTTTATACAGACCCAATGCAACACCCTATGTCTTGTTTGGTTAAAGTCTTGTTTGTTTTGTTTGGCTTGTTTTGCTTATGGTCGTTCACCAAGTCGATCCCATTTTTATATCTTTCCGCTTCCTTCCCGGCTGCCAGGTTCTCGGCGGGCGGCGCCCGCGCCGGCTCCCGCGCCGCAGGCCAGTCGCGACAACGCGAATCGCGAGACGGGTTTGGTTCCAGTGGTTCACAGAGCTGACATGGTCAGAGAGAATCCTCCCGCGTTTTTTTTTTTTTTTTTTTTTTTTTTTTACAAATATAATAATAATAATGACAATAATAATAATTATTATTATGTGTTTTTTTTCCGGAATGGAAAGTAGAACCACCAAACTTGCTTTGTGATTTTTAGGATAGGAAACCGCCACTCGCATTTTGGAGATGTCATGTCCGACCGTTGGCAGATACTCGAGATGCCCAGCCCGGCAGAGCAGGTGCGGACTGCGTGTTGGCTTGGCGAAACCGTTGCAATCAAAGTCTTTGTTGTTGGCCCTCCTTTTGGGAATCCTTTGCACCTGGAGAGGCTGCTGTCTTGGAGGCCACCATCTAACATACAGGTATCCTTTATGCTTTACGTATGTTCGTATGTGCATATATAGATATATAAAGATACGTATGGCATAAAGGCACTTTCAGGCCAAGCCGTAAAATACTCGTAGGCTCAAGGGCCTTCCTCTGAACTCCTGATTCGACAACTACGTTTTGGACGACACGTGGCGAAACCGCTTCATGTCCATTGTTTGTTTGCATGCGGGCATATGGGCGTGTCTTTCTTTTTTAGTACCCTTGTTGGATTCTAAAAGGGGATCCAAACGGAGTCAAAAAGACAAAACTTGCTGGGGGTCCAATCCCATTGGAGACTCCATATGCTTATCTCCTAACACAGGTGTGCTGTGTAGGTGAGTTTGCTTAGACAGAATTAGATGGGTTCCACTGGTTTCGATGGTTTCTATGGCCCATGTACCAAAAGGTCACCTCCTCTGCAGACCTTGCCCTGGTTCCCGGGCATCGGCAAGCTGCGGCGGCAACGGCGGCTGCAGCGGAAGCAGGCCGGACAGAACGCCCCGAAGCCGAAGGCAATTGGGTATGGGCCAAAATTTTCAGCCAGGAGATGGACCGCAGGTTTAGTCCTTGGTTCCATTCACCAGGGCAAACCGCAAACCATTTTGGGGTTACCCTATTTTTGAGCCACAGCCAACTTGGGTGGCTCGTCTTTCTTTTTCATGGAGTTCACTTGCAAAGGCTGGTGTGAAAGGGACGCCCAGTTTTTTTTAATGAAGCCATTTTGGAGGGTCCCTAAAAAAGGACATACCATGACACCTAGCTTGGGCGGTTGCACGTGGGTCTGTGTTGGGATGGCTTGCCTTTGAAGCATGGACTCGCCGGGACGGTCGAGAGAAATTCACAGCTTGACCGCCCCGTGGTAGGCTTGAAGGCTTGAAGCAACCTGAACCATGTCGGGGGATCGATGGGCAGGTATGCACATGAAGCCCACCCGAAAAGGAGAAATTCGGTTGCACCCCTACTGCCCCCCCAACCTCCTCCCCCGGGCACGTTCTCCGGTCATCCCATGGGTTGACTTCGCGACTTTGACTCGGCTGAGCGCAACTGGTCTGAGCGCCAGGCACGAGAGCCAGAGCCAAGGCGTGCGTCTCGTATGGGTCAGACGGGACCCTTCGAATTTGACAAGAGTGTTAGTTTCGTGGTGATGTGTTCACAGAAGCATCTCCAAACGGGCTCCTGGCTTTACCCTACGAGCCGGTGGTGAGCTGAGCAAGGTTCGTGGACACACTCTCTCACGTGGTTGCCTTGGTGCCCAGGCGTGCACTTGCGCGGAGGGTTTTTTGTAGCACCCAAAACATCCCAAAACCCTTTTCCGGCAGCAGAAATGACATTTTTTATTGATACCTCACTCGTTCTCCAGTGGATATGTTTTTCGGCTTGGGTCGCAGGTGTGAGCTGAGACCGCAATCTGCGCTGGTCCAGCCTCTCGGCCAGCCCAGAGCCCAGTCGGCTTGGCCATGCTTCGGGGCCTTCGGTCGTTTCGGTCCATGCGGATCTGGGGGCGCTGGCTGGGAGCTTTGAGCATAGTGGACGCACGTTCGACCTCGGCGCAAAACACGTGCATGTACACTGGGACAGTTGGTGATTCTCCTGAAGGATCCCCGAGGGTCCCTTCATGCCAAGCGCTGAGGTGCGGCGACTCCCGGCCGCCCTCCGCTCTGCCCGGCAACTCGCCCTGGCGCCCAGCGTGAAAGGCAGACGGCCGTGAAAAGTGGAAGGTGGCAGTCGGTGCTTCCTTTTCGGGTAACGTGGAGCCCCAACTGCCTGGTTTCAGAGCTGCTTGCCCAAGGTGTGGCTCAAAATTAAGCAGGAGGGGCAAAGCGCAGGTTTTGTCCATGTTTCCACTTACCAGGGTTCCATTTGGTATCTTTTTTTTGAGCCACGGCCAAATCAGGTGGAGTTCTGCTTGAGCTCGACCCAAGAGACACGGCTCGCTCGCTGCTCGCTTTCGGCCTTCGGCTTGGCGGGCGGCCGCTCAGGGCTGGCTTTCGAATAGCCGTGCAACGGCCCGTGGAGGATGAGTGGCTCGGCAGGGCTCTTAGCATGGGACTGTGTTGCATAGGGAAGGTCATAGTTACCGGTTTACCTCAGCTCTTATGTTTGAACACCACTTCACATGCGCCAATCCTAAAGTTGATCAATATTCAATCGCACACGTACGACTCAAACCTGACCCTCCATTTGTGTAGCCAAAGACATTGGATATTACCCCCCCGACTCCTTCACAGGTCGTGTTTTCCCCATCGACCAGATATGGTGACTGCCCAAGCAGCCGGGGCCACCTTCCCTTCCTCGCCCCTCGCGAGGCCGCGGCAATACGCCCTGCCTGAAGCCCAGCACTGCAGATCACGGCGCCCGGCACCCAGACCAAATTGAGAGGGGCGGAACTCACTCCGTTTCTGATGGAAATGCCGCGGAACCCCCCCCCCACTTCAAAGGTTTTTTTTTTGCTGGTCTTCGGCAAGTGCAAATGTCCAACTGAGATCGTCACTGAGAAATTGGTGCGTTCCAATCTTGCTCTCCCCATTTTTCCCGGCCTTGTACTTGAATGGCTGGTTACCCTGAAAGCTTGAATATGTAGGGAACAAAACGGGGGGCTCTCAGTTCCCCCGAGTCTGCCGCCTCCTTCCTTCGCATCGCTTCAGGTCATCGACGCGAGGTCCCGGGAGTGCCGAGAATTCCTGCGGCACGGTCCGAAGAGCCACTGGGCGAGGCCGGATTTTCGCCCCTGCCGAACCCCGAGGTTCTTTTAGAAGGTCTCGCAGGTCCTTTTGGAATGAAATTGCAATGGGTCAAAGCCCAAATCGGTTAGCCCCCAATGAACATGAACCCAATCCAACCACTAAAATAGGTTCTAAAATGGGTGGTGCGCCTAACCCAAAATGGTACCATTGGTTTTGACCCGCAGCCAAATGGGATGAGTGTGGTTGCTTTCTTGTGTTCTCACTTGGTCAACCCCCACCTTTTGCTACACTTCTTGTCTTGTCCTTTTTGGGGCAACTCGGGAGGGGCGGGCGCCCACAGATGCACTTTCCGCTGTTGTGGGGTGTAAAAGGGGGACTTCCTTGGACCAATGAAATATGTTTTCTAGCATTGCTTAGCATGCCCGCACATTTGCGATGGTCTGTGGGGGTCTTGCTGGGCGGTCCCGGTGCTGACCCAGTAAGACTTGTGACGGGGCGTCCCTGGTGTCGAACCCGTCACTTTCCATGGATGGTTGCAATTTTTGCTGGTGTGGTTAGCAATGCTAGAAACACACTTCAGCGGTCCAATGGAATCCTGGGGTTGTTTATGGCGGGCAGTGAGGTTCCTTTAACATGGAATACCAGTAGAGCTGGCGAAGCCGTTTGGTGGAAGTTTCAAGCATAGAAGAACTATAGTTGCCTTTCTCTTTCTTCTCT